ATGACAAGAGAGAAAAAGAGAGAAAGAGAGGTCAGAAAAAGTGAAATTACTCGGAAGCGCTTCCTGGAAAAACACGAAGGTGATAGGTCAACTTATAGTGCTATCGCATTTTTCCTATTTGGTAAACCACCATCAACCACCCCCTCGTTTCACGGTAGCTGAGCGCAAGTTTCCGGGGAATCTCTTCCTCGGAATGCTTTCCGTACAGTCACCGATTCGGCTGAATCTCTGTTTCGCGGTAGGAACGCGCAAACAGCAACAAGTGGCACGGACTTTTATCCGTCGTCGTCGTCGCGCCACAGCACGCGGGGCGTCGACGGTGGCCCAGTTTCCACGACCGGGCGTAAATTCGCGTAAATGCCCGAAAGACAGATTTACGGCGAGTCACTTTGCTCCCGAGAATCGCTCCGTTTTCCTCCCACACCGGGAAGAACGAGCCACTTGGCTGCGCGTTTCCCGATGCTCTAGGTCATCGTATCGCATCGCACATGTGCGAAATAGTGGTTATCGAGCAGTTAAACATTCATGTTTAGCGAACAGTAGCGTTAAGGTTACTGGTTACACAGAGAAAACGATTTTTTGGTATTTAGTATTCCTATCTACTTGGATTGTTAGTCTCAAATAATATAATTTTATATCAAGCATTATTTCTTTTTTTAAATTAAAACTTATTGTTTGATGGAAAAACTACTATTATAAAAAAGAAAATATAACTTAATTTTCAATCAAATAATATATTATTTGGTTATATTTTATTTGGTTAAATTAAATCATATTATTAGATTAAAAAAATGATTGTTTTAAACATTTCGTTTCTCACTCTAGTATACAACCATATTGTCAGAGTTAGTTGGCATCACTGATTCCTGTATGATCGTTGAAGTCAACCAAGCGTAGACCCAAACCTTGATCAATAAAAAGGATAGGTGACTGCATCATGGAGTATGATGCATACGTCAAAAGAAAAAAAATGTCAAAATTCCTGCGAGAAATAAAAATATATATCCATAAAATAATACTTGTAATCAATCGAGCAGATGTGTAAAATAATCTGAACTTTTTCCTTCTAGCAATCAGTAAATAATCGTAAGATTTTAACGTAACATATAATCTTTTCTAACCTATAATTTTGTCACATTAAATTCGGTTATTTATTGGCGTAAAAGAAAAATATTCGAATTATTTTTACAGATCTGCTTGATTCATTGCAAGTGTCATTCTGTGAATATATCCTTCTACTTCACAGGAATTTTAAACGTGTTTTCTCGCTTCTGACATCATAGATCAAAATGGTCGCGGCGAATAGCCAGGAGCTTCAAGGCGCGGTTTTTCTCGATCCTAATACTCGAGAACATCTGATCACATCTGTAACGTGACGATACCGATTGGCGCTATTTCTGCCAATTTAATATTTACTAATAAGAAAAAAATGGAGATAAAAATAGAAAATTGATCGAACAGCTTCGAGAAGAGAGAGAGGGAATGCCTTGTAAATTTCGAATTCGCGTATTTTTGAGATCAGAAGGGCAGTCGAGCGAGACACATTCGGTCGCAACCGTTTAGGCACAAGTGCGCCAACCTCGATCGAGGCGACGACGTAGGCGGTCGGACCCGTATTTATAACGCGCCCTGCGGATTTAATAATACCTTCAAGAACGCCGGACCTTCGCGGCTGGATCCTCTTTATATAAATGCGCGGAGAGCCGCGGCGCGGTACGCACGGTCCTCTCTATCGACAGGAGGTATTGACCTCGGGGCGGTACACACCGCGCGCGGGCGCCCAGCAGTATTTCTCCGCCGTTCTGCATGTGTAAGTGCGTCCGACCGTAATCTATAGACAGCGCGCGCGCGCGCGCGCACACATACGCATGCACACACATACACACACAACGTCGGCGAACGAACGCGCGGTTCTCCTAGCTGCAGGCGCTATTATTTCGTCATATTATGCTTGGCACACAAACGCGCCAGCGGTAACGCCGACCGGACGGAGACGCTTACGCTATCGACTATTTTTCAAAAGTAACAAACGTCGAGGATGGAATAGGCAGAAAAAGAAGGAAAAAAATACAATATACCGCGCGCAATGTCTTCGCAGCATGGACGCTCTATCTTCGACACTATCGTCTAGTAGTCGATATCTGTAGTGCTGTTTAATATAAGAGTACAATCGCGATGACAACCCTGACAACTACCGCGACGTGACGTTTGCTTCATTCGATTTTACGCAACGGTATTTCGGAAGAAGGCACCGATGAATGGAAGGAATCGGGAGAGGACACGCGTCAAGTGGTTACACTCGCGTAATTGCGCAACCAGCTCTCTCATGAGAGAGAACCGACACCGCCACGGTGGGATTTCTCGACGGACGCGAACGAAAGGCGGCGGCGGTGGCGAATCTATCGATGACCGGAGAGCCGATCCGCTCGCTCGCTCGCTCGTTCGCTCGCGTCGATTCCGAGAGAACCAGTTTAGGATCGAGCGCGGATGGAGAGAGAGAAAAGGGAGAAACGCAGGAGGCGGCAGTCAAAACCAGAGACGAGGAGAGCGCGCGACGGGAGAGGAGGAAGCGAGAGGTGGACGTAGTCTCGGCAGAAAATATCGCTGCGAACATCTCTCCCTGGTGTCTTTCTGCGAGTTACGAAGCGGTTCCTTATGTTTATTGGGCCCTTGATTTTGCGATGCACGTGCTTCGCGATATTCGTGCCATCGAATTTGGTGACACGTCGAATTTTGAGAGTGCAAAAGACTTTAACCGTCATCTAAGTTGTTAATTGAAAAATATGTACTAAATATCATAAAACATAAGTAATCTTGCAATTTAAGATGTTTTGTAATATTTGAATAATTTTTAATAAGAATTTTTTTATATAAACGGATAAACATAGTGAATAAAAATATGATATCTTTTACCTTGGAAAGGCAACTAATTAAAAAGGGGGTGTTAGAAAAGGGCTGATTTTTACCTAAAAGCGTATAAATAAAAGAAACAGAGTTTTTTGTAGATATTTTGACCTCCTGAGAATACGCTATTAAAAAATTTATAGCATTTGAGCAAGAACATGATGTATTTATTTGTGAAAATTCAGTTTATTTATGGAGCTATCATAAAATGCATTCTCACCATACATTTTTATAAATATTGTAATGGATTAAAGTTGCTAATAAGAAAACTTATTTCATTCCTTGCTTTCTTTTGTAGTATTATTCATTTTGAGCAGTTCTTTTATTTTCCACGTTAAATTTTAGTTCTTTTATTTTCTACGTTAAATTTTAATTCTTAGAGTCAATTGAGAGCGAGACGAAAGTTTCTGTCAATTATCTAATAATATCGTTTCGTGATATTGATTTTGGAATTAATGCATGTCATACTTCACAATTTTGTATAATCTAAAACAACATTAAAAGTAACAATGCAAAACAATATTAGAAGTACAAATATAGTTATAGACTTAAAAAATCGTATGTACATTCTTTTTTGTTTAATAATTATACAATTTTTCAAACTGGTAAAGTCTAAAGTCTGGTATTGTGTTTCCATTACTCTGGGAGTGTCTTCATTCAAGACTATTAGGATCTTCCAATTGTCGGGATTTATGTTTTAGAATATTTGTCTCGAAACGCTGGGTAAATAAAACTTTGATAATAATAATAATAATTTACGTCCCATTTTGAATAACGATATACTTTTCGCAACATCATGATGCGCGCAAGATCGATCAGTCTCCAACTCGGTGTATCGATATTGGCTGACGGATACATTGATCAACCACTGAAACAGCGATACCATGAAACTTATCGGCACATCGCGATCAACAGGATCGGCTTACAACAGCATGTAGTTGCGATCATGAGGAACCGCGAGCAAGTGCACGTTAGTTTAATTTTCTTTTCAATTACTTTACTTGCTCGACTTTTCATATAGCCTTTAAAGAATCCGGGAATGAAAGGCTATAAAATTTAATTTTATTACTAAAATGTGATTCTAATTACGAGGGCGCAAGTGAGAGTTTCTCAGTCCTAATCTGTTCTGCTTTTATACAGTTATTTTGATTTTGTTAATCCCGATTTTATTGGCATCGTCTTATTGGCCAAATCATTGATCTTCTCGCAAGATATTTATCTCGGTTTGTGATAATTGTCGCACTCTGAATTTCTTATGCTCATATCTATTGTATCTATTAGCTACTTTCGCTTCGCTCTATGTATTTTAGTCAAACCTTATATTTTGAAATTCTAAAGTCTGCTCTTACAATTTAATATATAAGGATATTTGCTTGTCAATTTTAGTTGCTGAAGTTCCGGAGAACTTTTGAGAACCACGCTACTAGAATACACCGTGTATTCTTACGATAGTCCGTGTATTCTTCCGTTTGTCCGTTTTATTGGACGATGTCGCAATATCATGCTCTGGATACACAAGGGAAAACGTATCAACACCTGCGATCTTATTTATCGAGCTTTATCGACGCGCGCGACGCAAATGTCCATCAGCGAGTGGCATGCTAATATAACTCATCAGCAATCGTGTCAAATAAATATCGCTTTTCAAATCGAAAGAGAAACATGACAATATATTAGGTAAAAATAATAACGAAAAAATTAAATATGACGATTTTTCCACCTAGCAAACGAGAATTCGAAGTCACTTTCTTGTTACGAAAATTGTCTTACACGAGAGATATTAAGATATTATATCTGTCTATATGACTTATTAAACGGAAATTTTACCGGTGCGAAAATCCGCGAGATAGAAACGGTGTCACGCATTCTCGTCCCGGATTATCCCTAACCTTGCTTTGGGCTAGGTCGTGAGACACAACACGCGCTAGGAAAGACGAACCTCGCTGCTTGTACGGTAAACGTTTGCAAGCAATAAACATGAGTTATCGCCGGCATGGTTGCACGAAGACAACACGCGTCCGCGTGCACACAACACACATGTATACATTCATACGTCGCATTTCTGATTACGGTACGAAAGACGAGAAGACACTCACCTTCATGTCTCAGTCTGTCGGTGATAAGGCAGTACGGGGGTGGTGGCGACTCTGCAAGCAAACGTGACAGTTATATGTATTATTATGTCAAAAATATTCGAGCAATATAATCAATATAAAGTTAAACATAAGTTGTACTTTCGATCTTACTTCGTGCATGCGCGTGTTTAGTGAACGCAAACGATTTTATCTCTATTTTGATATTTTTATCTGTAATCTGCAGTTAAATCTAGTCAATTGTCAGAGGAGGAGAGGATGGATGTCGTTAAATGATTTATATAACGTATCTACGTCGCCCATATACTACCGTTTCCGTCACTTTCAGCCGAACTTGCTCGGTATCGACCGCGGAGGAGGGCATTGAGAAACGGACTCAAGGCCCCGTGGCTTTCGATTACATCGAATTAATGGCATACGACGCGCGGACAGAGCGACGCGAAGTATCGCGCGACACACGACGACGCGGGCGCCCGTTAGAGAGAAGTCCAGGTCCAAAAGTGGCGAGGAGTTCTATTATTGGCGCAGCGGCGAAACCGGTATGCCGTTTTTCGTCCTTTTACGTATCGCCCTGAAAGTATAGAGGACAAACCGAGGCGCGAATATCTCAAACGTCAAGGTAACCCGACGCTCCGTACCTAAGAAAACGGAACGCCGTCGCCGTCGCTCGCAGCGCATGGCCGAGATACGTACGTACAGGTAATTGCATCCTCGAGTAACTCGCCGGCGCGACCAAAAAGAGCTTGCCACTCAATTAGCCTTTATCCAGGCACTCCATTTTGCCGAACAATACTTCTTCGCGAATATGAATGTTTCAAAAATTAATTTTGCTCAGAAATATACATGTAAAGACAATACCAAGTGCTTGATTATAAATTATTAATGTTACAATTTAGGTATTAAATAACATGTATGTGTAATAATAACATTATTTCAACAATTAATTCTACTAAAAAATATAATTGAAATCGACACATTGTTTAAAAATATGATTATCTGTTAACTCAACTATGGTCGATAAATAATTCTCTCCAAGAACCACAAAGAAGCATTCTAAAATTGTTTTGATTATATTACTCAAGAATACAGAATTTTACCCAAATTTTCTTATATTATGCCTCAAGAGAACCAAAAGAGAAATATTCTAAATATTCTAAAAACTTTGGGTCTTAGAGTTGCAAGTGCTGTCCAGTAATCCAATTCTCTGTAATCCTGTCTTATAAGCGAGAATCATTGTAACCTAATATTCTAAGCAAAAACTATTTTAAGAGAAAACTAAAGAAAAAACGTCTAATAAAGTAAAATAATATTATATTAAGAATATTTTCCTTTCCGTTTTAGAAGAATTCCCTTGAAGCTGTGCAAAGAAGTCTGTTTTATCTGTTAAGGGATAAAATTATATATATAGCTTTTGGGAGTATTCTCTTTTAACGTGTATCTTGAAATAAAAAAAAAACTAAGACCCTTCTCTTGTGTGATCTTATCATAATATCTCGTTATTTAGGAAGAAAAATTCTCTTTACTTTTATCCGCCGCTCTTCTTCCCACAGATGATAGCAATTGTCACAAAATATACAGAAGAATAGTCGGTAAAAGATTATCTTCGAGACGAACCCGAAAAGTAAAGAAAATCCATTTCGAAATACATATTTATCGAGTAGCGTGATACCATGTAGTCAGCCCACGGGAGAAATCGTGCCGAAATTCCTAGACGATAACGAGCACGACGGCGACGCGACGCAGAGCGTGGCGTCGCGTCGCGTCGACGCGTAATGGCCGCTTGACGCGCCTACACACACGTGGGATCTTCTCTCGCTCTCTCTCTCGTTCTTCTCTTGATCCCTCCAGAGTCGCGGAGAAGAGCCGACCGGCTGCCGCCGGCGTCGCCGAGCTTTAATAAAAGCCGGCGGCGCGCGGCGTGTCACTCATCGACGCACCTCGAACTTTGAGCCAAAGTTGGCACGATTTGAATAACAAGATGCGCGCGAGTTAAACGGCGATATTTTAGCCTCTAATTAAGGCACTTATAATAAACGCGGCGCTCCCGTGCCGTTACGTAATAATCCGACCGCGCCGAGAGTGTCTCCGCCACCTCTTCCACCTCTTTCACCTCCTCCGGGAGAGACGCGGCTCTATAAGCGAACCATTCCTACGCCTGTTTACGCGATTGTCAGTCACGAACGATAAATGTTAATGTACTTATTAACCTACTCATCCCACCCGGCGTCACGTATCGATTTCAAAGCACGGGAACGTCGCGCACGTGTGACGTCGCGGCGATCAATAAACGAAGATCCGAAGGGGATTTTGTAAAACTCACAAGGGAGCGCCTCGTAAGTCGCGACGAATCGTGGCGATCGCAAAGCGTAAAGCCCGTATCGGAGCAGATATTGAGAATAGAGGATTACGGATTAGATATTAGAATTCGAGGAATCAGCTGATTTCGATCGTGGATCGCTTTGTTCCGATTGACCTAGTCACAATCTTTGATTCGCGATTTCCAATAGCTAGTCCTATGATATAGCCTTAAGAATTCGTGAAATATTCGATGTACGGCATACATATCGCGATACATCATTCGTGATGTCTGTCAACTACAGTTCGTACATAAAAGAGAAAAAAAAAGTGCAGACACGTGGAAATCGCTTCCTCGTGGACTTTCGGACATGAATGAATGCACGCGTCGCGGCGGAAGAGGGGCGGAGAAAGTCGCGTACATTACGCTCTGGAACGTGACGGTGATAAAAACCTGCGCGACGGTTTGCGTAACGACGACGACGACGACAACGACGACGACGACGACATCACCGCCAGCTCCACCTCCACCGCCGTCGTCGCCGCTGCCGCCGGCCGATGATAATCGATTCGCCGGCGTGAATTATTAACGGCCGCCTCGGTAGTGTTCGAACGCCACCGAATGTAAAAACAGATAAAGACGGCGACTTTGCGTCGCGTTACGAAAACAAGGCGCCACCGCGGGAGCGATTTACGTGGCGATAAAACGCGCGCTCGTGCTGCGATCCGATACGAAATTAGCGTACGCTATCGATGATCGCTAACAATGGTCGGTCGTCCGGTATCTGAGCCGACGTAGCGTGTAAATCGAGACGGCAGGGGGAAAAAATAGGCGAGAATGCCGCCACCGCGATTACTCGTCTATCGGTTATGTGGGACGGACGGACGCTCGCTCGCTCTTTGTTGCATCGAATACGACGCGATACGAATATGCGCGCTATTTTGAGCGACGCGGACGCTAAATAACCGCGCGCGCTTCGCACAGCGCGTGCTATCGTGCACACAAAAAAAGTACACGCTGCATTCAAATGTTACTTGTTTCAAGTATTTTATAAGAATTTGTATGTATCTGCAAATCTATCAAAAGAGCTCATCATCTATCAAAAGAGCATCAAATTTATTCAAGAGACATTCTGAATTTTAGTAAGTCTAGCATTCCAATCAAGAATCTTAAAGCAAAAATTTGATTTGCTTACTACATGGAGTCGAACCAACTTTTTCTTCGATAAAATTTTATAATATTCTTGTAAAGAGAATAAGCTTCTTCTTTTGAGTACATGACAATATGCTTTTCTCAGAGTGCGGTCAAATACCTAAGTTAGACTACTGATCTGTGACCAATAGTTCATGATTTTGGGTTTAAAATGAAGTTTATAGTGTATAGGTTAGTGTATAGAGACAAATGTGTAAGTGCCAAAGTAGTCGGACTTTTCGAAGATTCAGAGATATAGCCTATTGAAAATTCCACTTCCATGAGATGTTAATCTCGAGACGTACAAAGTACCCCAAATCTAAGATTTAGAGTCTAAGGTCTCGATATTGTGAAAAAAATGTATAACCAAATACTGATTGACAATACTGTTATAAGTGACAAGTCGAAATGTAATTGTGGTGTAGTAAGCGCAATTATCGCGGCTGCGATTCAACACGGAGAGCACTGGCGCCATCTCGTGGAAGTGGAATTTTCAATGGGACATATCTCTGGAATTTGAGATTCAACTACATTGGCACTTGCATATTTATAACCCACGCATCATAACCTTTATTTTAAGCTCAAAATGACCTCAAAACTTTTTGATTATGAATCTGGACTACTCTTGATCGCACTGTTTGTGATGAGTATATTGTAAGACTATTATTAAGAAAATATTCTTTCTTTTGTTGAAGATAACTATTATTCAAAAGAAGGAAAGTAAATTGAGTAATAACTTTTCTTAGCAACATAATGATATTTTTCTCTGTGTGGAATATACTAAAATATCCGTGGATCTCTGGTCAAATCGATGAAATAAAATGTGTATCAAGTATATGACGATTTCTCAAACGCGCGCGCACTTGTGCTGTCGGGTATTTTTTAAAGAATTTACTCATTCAGCGAGATAGACGTTAAGTCATGCTTCTCTCTTTCTCTCTCGCACGCACGCATTTTTGAGCTACATACGTTACGGAAATGATATCATCGAGAATGCGAACATGCGAATAATCAACAGTCGTACGACGAAAGCCCGTTTTGCACGTGCTCAAGGCCTTTGTTGTTTTGAACAAGTCTGATTTAAGTGCTACGGAATTCGCTACGCATCGCGCAGCGTTGCTTAAATTCTCCAGAAACCTACTCTCAATCCGTCGAAGTCACTAACACACGTGTGTCCCAGAGACCAAGAATATAATAACATTTGGTACCGGCCAAGATTCCCGACGCCTTCGCAGCACCCAATTTCGGTGAATCACAAAAATTTCAACGATTGAAGGTCAGCGTCATACGAGTGGGCGTATTTACGCGAACTACTCCGGAAAATCTATATGACGATAATGCAATTTACCCGGCGAATATAGAGCTAATTTTCGGTTTATTTATTAAAAATCGATATTTCCAGACATATTGTTTTCCAGAAATATAGAAAAGCTATAGTATAGTATAGCTATAATAGTGTAATAAAACCAAAATCTGCGAATAATATTTGTTCGGGTCTCGCAAATCCAACATTGTACAACACATTGTAGAGTTAAATTAAAAAATATTAAGATTAAAGAAAATACGC